TAGAACAGATTCAATATGACTGGGGGCGGGAGAAAATGCTCACAATATTTTTTTTTGGGAAGTTGAAATTTAACCGGTTTTGTTTCACAGTGAAATTAGAATTAGTATTTATCAGACCGGCTGACTCGTGACGACTACAATCTCTTCTGAAGACTCCGGGGCACTTCCCAAAAACTTCTGCACTGCTGCCGGTAGATGATCGGAAAGAACCGATACTGATAGTTTCACATCGCTTAGGCATTTGGGATCGATCCATGTTTCATTAGTAGCTCCATCCACCGTAGACAAATAGACAGTGCATCCAGGGACGTAGAGCTGCAAGCGTTTGTTGTGTTCGGGGTTCCGGGATGAAGGATCGTTGGCTGGATCATTAGCTGCTTCTGCGGATCCATACGAGCTTCTGCGAGTGAGAAGTGCGGATTCTAGGTCAGCAGTAGGAGAGTCTGGGAGACGGGGGACGCCTGAAAAATGAACATTTTAGAAATGATAAGCTAGCTAGATAGGTTTGACAAACCTGACAAACTCTCATCCTGCCATGGATACTTGAAAAACAACTGATAAACTCCTCTTATCAATATCTCGTGCTTGGCTCTCTGACATCCCATCAGCTCTTGGAACACCCGTTCCCTCAGCCTGTGCAACGATTGGAAGCTCATTCGTGACACAATATCATCTCCGGACACCACACTCATCACATACTTCTCCATTTCGTCTTGTCCATACTCACTGATCACACATCCGGGCGGTGCGAACGCGTAGCATATTACTCTAGGATACTCTTGCTTCAGAAGCATGGTAAGCAGGGATCCAACTCCAGCACCCAGTGAGTGACCGCAAACTACAAGCTGATAATTTGGGTTGCTAATGAACAGATCATTAAGGATCTTGTTCTTGTTCAACGTGTCAAACACGTATCTAGCGCTTCTCAACATCCCTCGATGCACTCTGACGTCTCCTCTTCTATCTATATTCTCATCCTGGCTCAACGTGGCATCCTGATCCACGTCTACTGTCATCAGCTCGTCTTCTAGTGATAGATCCGTTACTAGATCTATTAAAGAGCATGATCCTCGGATAGTAATTACAATTGACTTCCTATCATGATCGGCAATAACTGCGAAAGGGACTTCGTAGAGCCGATTTCGAAAAGACATGAATTGCAAATCGATGTTTCTTTTTTCATTGGCCAAAATCACAGCGGCAGTGTTACAGTAGCAGCAATTATCCTCGACAACCATGGATTGACCCTGGAAACATTTTTTGGAGATTTTAGAATTTTAAAGGAGGCCAGGCATGAAAATTTTCAAAAGTCTAGTTTTTTGATATATGACACCGTACAGTCAGAAAATAACAAGGGACACCAAACCATAACTCCCTCTTATTGTACAAGCGAAAATGCGACCGTTCTTCCACGCGGCACCCACTCCTCGTTTCATAATCGTTTTAGCGGCAGAAGCCGACAAGATTTCGATTTTTTTTTTCGATTTCCAGATGTCCGTTTTCGTTTTTTTTTCTGTTTTCATGCGGCGACATCTTGGAATGACCGATAACTAAAAAGTCGGGAATAGTTGCCTAACATTGAAGAAATTTAGTGTATACTAAAAAAAATAAATGCTCGTCAAATAGCGCGCATTGGGTCGCAATCGCGCGATTTTCCGTCAGAATACATGATCTCGCCCCGAGAAAACCTCGTAGACTTTCGTGTCTGGCCTCCTTTAATTAGGTCATATTCAGACTGAACAGTGTTGAAAAGAACGCGTGCTATGAAAGAAGACGTGCTGTATATAGTGAGAAAATGTAAATCCACCAAACACCCGTCACATTCTACCCCGTCCCCTACAGTTGCCAGTGAGCAATTCTGGAATCCAATAGCAATTATTTAGCTAATCTTCGAGAGAATTTGTGATTTTTTTTTCTTCGATTTTCTGCAAAATTTCTAGACCTTTTCAGGGTTATCAGCTATTTTTTAAAGATTCATTCTCGATTTTTCCGGGGATTTGTCTGAAATTTGATGGAACGGTGTTTCTGAAGATTACCGTAGGTTACTGTAGAAAACTAATTTCCTTTTGTAGTTTTTTTGCAAACACCATCACGTCAAAATGCAGATGATTGAGTTTGCAAAAAAAACTACAGAAGGAAATGAGCTTTCTACAGTAATCTACAGTAATCTTCGCCAGCATCATCCCGTTGAATTTCAGACAAAATAACCTGAAAAATCGAAAAAGAATTTTCAAAAATAGCTGAAAAACCTAAAAAGGTCTAAAAATTTTGCAAAAAATCCAAGAAAAAATCAAATTTTTTCTCTCGAATATTCGCTAAAAATCGCCAATTTTTTCGAATTTTTTCTTTGTTTATATGAATCTACACACTTTAATACACATCTTGATGTGTTAAACTTTTTAAAAAATCTTTTCAGAATCGCTCACTACCAACTGTGTGGACGCCGTGCCCGTACCTTCTTCACACTCCCAACCTCCTTCATTTCGATGTTTTGAAGTCGTTGCTGTCTTGCCACGTCATCAGAATTCTAGTTAGAGAAGCAGTTTTAGACGAATGTTAGAAGCACGTCAGATTAGAGTAAAACCCTAGACATTCTAGAAATTATTACCTGAGCACAACGCATTCTTCCGCAGCACTGGAGCTTTCGGAACAGCCGATAGATGGATTTCAGTCCGCAATTGTACAGAATGTAGGTTGGCCAGCCGTACACACACGTGGCATGGTGCAAGAAATACTCGGCGTCTTTGAGATTCATCCATGATGGGCGGTTCTCTGAAATGTTGTAATTTGTAGTCTAGAGCCTATATGAGTGAAAAACTAACCATGCTCCTTCTCTTTGACCGGTGGATATTGGTTATTTGGGGAGTGATAAGCGAGTAGAAGACCAGCAACGACGTCACTGGGAACTAGATCGGAATCCACGAAGAATGAGGAGATCAGAACAGCCAAATCGTCGAGAGCAGCGCGCATTGAGTGATCTTGGCCGATTTTGAACTAGAAAAATCAATTTTAAAAAATTAAAATGCTCAAATTGCTGCCTATCCACATACTATTCTCATCCTTCGACTCCACGACTTCTGCGCTATAGTCGTTCCATCTTCCACGTCACTTTCAGTCAAATGGAATACAATGAATAGGCCAACAATCGCAGTAGCTATCAGGAACCATTCTAAAACTATTGTCACTCGAGCGATTGTAGCGAAATCGCATCCTTCTCCTCCGTTTGTAGATCCTAGAATCATTTAAAAATCAATTTTCCAAGTTTTAGTGTTTTTTTGAAAACTCACTAAACGCATGTACAGTTGCTAGTATTGTAAGTGCGACTTCTATAATAAAAATCGGAAGTCTTATGTACAAAAGTCGAGGTAGTAGCCTCCTGGGCTGTGAGTCCATTATAGTGCCTCTAGCGGATATTACGGCAGTGAAAATGGCTGAAATTCCAGAATTTAGAAATAAAATTTCCAAGGAAAAAAGTTACCTAAAAGTATAGTTATCACATTTATGACAAGAAGAGCTAGAAAATGAAGTGTCAAATTGTGAGTAGAGCATGCCAGTGGGAAGTGGAAGACGAAAACGGACACTCCAAATGCGACCCTGCAGAAAATCCGAATTTTTAGAAAACAAATAGATAAATATCTACCATGATATCCTAACCAATGCCTCGGTGATCTCGGGAAACACAAAATCGTCGCTACCAATATTCCATTGCCGATTGAATGCGACTAGCGAGGGCATGGCATTATCTGTAAACTATTTTTTGTGTATTTGCTTTGTTGTTCAGACACGCCCTTGTTAAATTAGATCAGAAAATATAGGGGTTGGGTGACTCATTAAAAATTTCGCAATTTCCTGAAAAATCGAAAAAAATTCAGTTGAAAAAATAGAAAAAAATAGTTTGCATGAGAAATGCACTGCGCCCTCCGCTCTCTAACGCATGTTAATAGAGCGCGATTGCGGCTGAAATGGAATTGCGGCTGAGACCCCGG